GTATTTTAGACGTGATTGCGAAACTAAAGTGTATACATGTTTTCACTTTTATCAAAGCAGATTAATTTTACATTGAGTATTTAAAATAAAAGTTAAAATATTTAAAGTAGTTAAATCGGAGCTTATAGAATGGAAAAATGAATATTAATCAGCTCATGAATATTAATTAGCGACCAGCACTCAAATCAGGCTGGGCAAAATCCTGAGTATGCAGCTTTTGGCATTTGTTGAAGAAGTAGTTTGAGAAGTCAGATGTCAACAATGTAGCTGCTAAATATTATTCACATTTCATGAAAGTTGACAAAAGCAGACTTTAAATAGCATTCAAAGGGTTTTTCTCAATAGTTATTAACTGTGTGTTTCCAGTAATCCTACCTATCCTTACTTTAGGAAGTGTTATATTTATTTTATGCAAATGAGCTTAAAATTATTTATTTTGATGCAAAATAGCTGTGGTCATTCCACCAATGTTGAATTTTTTGAATTCTTTTATTTCCATCTATGTAGTGAATGACTAAAACTTGGTTGTATTAGAAAGGCATATGTAGTTATTCTAAAATAAAATAAAATTAAATTAAACTCATTATAAAATAAAATAAAATTAAATTAAAAAAATCCGTGTCTACGTACCCTGTATTCTTTAAACAGTTAAATGTTTTATTTAACCTTGTATATTTTCATGTGAACAACCGGGTTTTCAGAGTTGTTCTCTTACTGTCTTACTAATTACCTGTTTTTTTGTTTTGTTTTTTGTTTTCTGCTGACTATCTCCCATTTTTGGCACAAAGATTGGTACTAATAATCGCAAAAAAAAGAAAAGTTGCTTGGCAGTTAATCACAAAACCAAGACTTAATGTCTTTAAATGATTTGTTTTTCATTCCTAGCCGCTTAGCAACAATTCCTTGAAGACTTTAAACCATACTGTAAACCACAGTAAACCTTGTAAGAGACAAATGTCCACCATATTTTAGTCATGGAAATGAAGTAATTTCTGCAGTAAACATTTCATAGTACTTAATAGTAATTAAAAGCAGAAGAGTTACAATGACAACTTTTAAGTTTGAGACTGGGACTGTTATGTGACATACAGTAGAACGTTGATTATCCGAAATGTTCGGTTATTCGAACCTACTGTGTGTCCCCCAAAGTTTGTATGCATGTCTGGTTGTGTTCCGTATAATACAAAAGTCAACTGTGAACAATAAATACTACAGTCGTCTTGTGTGATTTCCTGGTGCAACACTTTCAATAAAGCTATTATCAACATGTAATCCGACGTCTTTCACATGTATGTTCATTGTTTACAGTGTCTGCGCAAACAATGAAACGAATTACAGATCGAATAATTTCCTAAATTCAGACAAGCCTATTATGCAACACCAGTGTTCTTCAAACTTCAAACAAACTTCATCAAATGTCTTCTCCACTGTTTACAGTCAGATCCTTAACTTTACCAAGTTGTAAGTCACCGCAGTTCGGATATGTTTCCCGGAAAAATTGTATGGGGTTCCACTGCCGTCAAAGAAACGCAGCCATGAGCTGATCCCATGTATTTTTTCGACTTTTAATTTTAATGTCCAGTATCAGAAGTCACATCTTTTTCGGAATAAAAAAAGAAAGAAAATAACTTCTGGGATGTCTTGCCAAAGAAGTGACGCCAGTTTAATAGTGCAGTGAAAAAGAGTGACGAAACAACAAAACCTTGGTGTGCCTCCTTGATGGTTTATCAGCAGACAACGGCAACCAATGACCACAGTCGGCGGGCCGTTTGGTGGTTCACAGCGTCAAAGTGTTTACGTCCGGTGATCGCGGTAGCCAACCTGGATTTTTACAACAATTTATCATGTCAATCGTTCTAGGTGTTAAAAACTTTGCTGAATCCAATAAAATCGGGACATCTTGTAGCAGTTTACCATTCGAAAATCCACGAGCAATCTGGTAACATCGAGCCGAACTATACACAGCGAATACGAAGTGACCTTTCACCTGTTAACTTTATCAGCGTCTTTTATCTAGCGTTGGCATGGCTACCCCAGTGAAACGCAAACTGCTTAATTTGGACGCGAAGGTGTCAATTATAAATCGACTAGAACGTGGCAAAACCGCAAGCAATCTATCTACCGAGTAATGTGTTGATATCCGATATTAAGCAAAACAAAAGCTGCTGGATTTTTCCAGTAAAATAGATTCAAGTGCAGGACTGAAACGAAAGATACATGTAATGAAAACAGCCAATGACGATCGTTTAGAGAAATCTGTCTTCACTTGGTTCCGGGACTTGGTTTTCCTCAAGAAAGAAGCAAAGGAACTTTATTATCGCTACATTTTACGGGCATTTTGAAACATGTTTTAACATTCCAGCGTGCAACATTTTTATTACAAAGTATTACTGATTAAATAAAAATGTTTTAATGACGTACTCTACATGTACTATTGTTTGATTTCATTGCAGTCAAGTGCGTTAGAATTTGTGTGTATGTGAGCCTGTAAATTAGAGCACACCCACACAAGATTGCATATCCGAACTGTTTGCATAACCGAACAAAAAGCATGTCCCCCTAACAGTACGGATAATCGATGTTCTACTGCATTTGATGGTATCAATATGCATGAATTGCAACAAATATTCAAAATTACTGAGGGTTGCAGTAATTCCTAAATTCCTATTTACATGTATATTTAACACTATTCAAACACATTAGCAAATCAATTTCAAACAAATAATAAATCAATTGTCAACGTTTGGACATACTTTGACCATCAAATATTTTACATAACAGGAATAATCTCAAATTGATGAAGAAATTTGTTGCCAAAATTGCCACCTACTTTGAATATTTCAAATGAAGTTATCTTCATAGTGAGTTCTATACTTAATAATATTACAAATACAAACAGT